TATAGAATTTCCTCCGGACCAAAACTTATTATTTCAATAAATTTAAAAAAACGCGTACAAATAAATTAATAATAAATTCAAATTAGCGGTTAAACAATTACCGAATCAATATTTAAAGAGTCCAATGTGCACATTTTTCGCCATATAATTACGCGAGAATGTGAAAAATGTGTTTATTTATTGATATGAAAAACGAACGAATTTGTTTAATAATTTAATTGCTAATGCAATGTCAACAAATTACCATCCGTATATTTTTAACACCGGCCATCGATGAAATGATATAATAATAAAATGCGGCGCGTATTTTATTTAATAATTAGCTCGTTTGTAAATTGCACGCACGTCTGCAAAACAACAGACAATAAAAATGCCGCACGCGCTAGACAATTAAATACAGGTCGCATTTTTAATGATTTTCCATCATGTAGAATGGACAATGCGCTTTTATTAGTATATTGGAAAGCGTAAATGAACGATGAAGAATAAAAACGATTCGTATTATGTGCGATAATGATGCCTCATTAATTCGAGCGCGTGCGAATGTGTGTGTGTGTGGCGCGATGAAAAGGAAAACCGGCAGCGTGCGCGCCCGAAAAACAAAAGAAAGTAAAAAGGAGCGCTACAAAGAGTGCCACAACGGTTGCAGCCGACGTGCGATGTTCGTGTGCGCGTGGTTTGCATGTGGATGTGTTCCACCGCCGAGGTTATCAATGGAGAGCAGCAGAAAAAGCGTGTGCAGAAGGAGAACCGCAGAGACCGAATGGATACCGCAGCTTTAAAAACGCGCGGCCAGTTTCACACCCCCAAGCACGCGTGGTGGCCACATGCCCGACTTCACGCCACAATCTGTACCTAATTTTTTTTCTTCTTCTTCTCCATTTTTCGTTGTGTTTACATATAATCCAAACACAATAAACGCATTTATTTGTTTTAAAATATAATAAGAATGTTTTTTTTTCTTTCTTTTGACTCGAATTTAAAGCAAAGTATTCTTTTCTCCGGGTGGATGTTATCGCGGCCCTTCGTTTGCAAACTCGTCGAGCATTAATTGCAGAGAAGGGGAAGCCGACGTAATAGCCGACGGCGTCGCGGCGTATGCGTGAGCGTGAGAGGACTCGATACCGCCGGCCGTCGCCCGGGCGCCGGCTTGCTCCTTCACTTGGCAGGAGCTGAGGCAATAAGGAGTGGTTTCTCCGGCGGCGTTGGGGCGTCGCGGCCCGGCCAACCTAAGCTAAAAATCTTGCAGAAGCTCCTGGCTCGCAGCTGTATTGATCAGCAGCCGCCGCCACCGCCGTAAGAGTGGGAGTCGCATTCCGTTTGCTCCGACGTAAGGGCGGAGGACGAAAGGAAAGGACAAGGGAGGGTTGCGGTCTTAGTCCCTGCCCGATATACGCACTCACACATCGCCGGCGACACCCTCGAATATTAACGCCGATGGGCGCTTGCCGCCGCTATAGCAAGTTTAACCCGACGCCGCTGCCCCCCTCGCACACCCTCGCCATTTGCCTTGCACCCTCTTCGCCTCATCTTTCATCTTACCACTCGCCGTACACTCCGCACAGCAAATCCAATTAACCCTTTTTCGACCAAACCGGTTTCACATACAGGGTGTTACCACAAAATACAAAAATTTTAATTTTTTTCTGCAAATATTTTCATTTTATCCAAAAAACAAAACTATTAATTAATTATTAATAATTTCATCAAACGGAAAAATAAATAATTTTGTAAATTTTGAATTTTTAAATATCAAAGAATAGTTTCTGATACACCCCCAGAGTATAATACACAAGGGTACAAACTGTAGCAAACAAAAAGGAATAGCAATTACTTTCGGCTGCCATTAATCAAGTAGGTATAAGGATTATGGCGGCCACCCTTTTGCGTATTTTCCTTGCAAGGGGCAAACGCAGAAAAGAAAAATTTCTAACTTTAGGGATCAAGGGTCAGCGGTTCCGTGAGGGGCATAATGGCACGTCGTAAATCACGAATCGTCATAGCAACCAAATGCCACTGAGGCGTTTTCGGAAGGAAGCACATGCAAAATATACACAAATCCAGACAAAGATTAATCGTACTTATCTCAGCATCAGCATCACCCACACCGCACGTGAATAGGCTTAATTTCATCATCGAAAAGATAAAGAAGTTAATAATAAATTAACGCGTTTTATGTAAATTTGCATTGAAAGGCGGAAAAATAAACGCGATTAATTATTCAACGTTTTCGTTGTTTGACTCATTTCATTTGCTTGCACTGTGCTTTGGCAATTGTTGAAAGAAGACAATCGCATTGTCTGCGACTGTGCATCGTGTTTGCGGCGCGCATGCATGTGTATTAACAGCGTATCCAAAGCGTTTGTGACCACCCACTCAGAAGATGGAGAATGCGGACCTGAAGCTGAACTATACGCAAACAATTACACATAATTGGAAAGCTTTTATACAAACTTTTGGTTTTTCAGCGACAAAGCACCGTGATGTAAATATTTCCGAGTTAAAATGATAACAAATAGAACTGGATTAATGATAGAAATTTCGTTTTGCAAATTTTGATTAGTTTGGCACTGTATGCCTAGACTATCCGCAGCTATTTGTATAGAAATTCCGTGGACATTTTGCCAACACAGCGCAAGCATTAGCGACGAGAACAAGAAGCGAACGGATAATACTCGTTTCCGTTGCGTACATGTGCGAACATCCATGCTCATCGCGTCTGTATGTGCGTGCATTAGACCATAGCGCAGCGGCGTTGTGGTGGAGTAATTTCGTGCAGGCCGAAGCTGCGAATTGCCTACGAATGCCGCCGCCAGGAGTGCCTTTCCTACTTTCCTATATGATGGCGCGAAGCCTACGACCACCTCTATGACTATACGACATACCAGGTTTCGGTCACTGTACACACACGCACGCACCAGTCGGAATTCGTTGTTTTCTGGATATTTGCCGACGTGGGTGCGACACTAGTGCGAATTGCAACCAACCCCTATTTTGTCACCCGGCTGGCCGTGGTGCACACTTGCGTTAGTTCCCAACTAATTTTTCCTTTGTTTCGGGCTAGCGCTGAGCGAAACCCGTCGCACTCTATGAGACACAACGGGCTACGATGCCGAAAGCTTTCGCCGCCGCCACCACCGCCAACGAAGCATGGCGCAACCCATGCAAGCGGGAAAGCTTTTCTGGTCGACTCCACGCGCCGCCGTTCGGCCACGTCGACACAAAATGCGTTTTTGTCGCGGACCCATGCTCCGCATTCCGTAATACCATAGCGCATTCAACAAAGTAAAATGCAACAGATTATCCTCGCGCTAAAATTGGAGCCATTCGGCTAAAAGTCACATTATTATACTTTACTTCTTTGTGATTTTTATAAACTAAAACAAGAAATATTAATAATTTTAATATTAATAGTTTTTCACTAACTACAACTAACTACTCAATACTAGCATTTATAAATTTACCAAAATATCAACATTCACATAGTTTCAGAGTGAATGTATCAAGTATTTCGTCTTAAACACAAGTTGTTTTGCTTGTTTATCAAACAAGATATGCACAAAACACGATAACGAAACCAATACACGCTCTTGCGATGCATAGTATCAAGAACACAATACAAACCTCATTTTATACACACTCTAATAGACATTCTTCAATATTAATTTATTAACAAAACTTAAGTTTAACGTTAATATGATACGAGTACATACCAGGTCTTCTCAACGGAATGCCTGGCAGCTGAATATTCACCACTTCTCCATTTCAGTTCACAATAGTTCACGAAACACAAAACACTTGTAATAAAAATCTCCGCACAAAGCACGCCACGCAGGTTACTGAGAACGCGCGCGAATAAAAGAATCACGAACGCACTCTGTCACACAAGCAGTATACGGTTGCAAAAATGCGAATACAGCGGTCGCAGCGACATCAAGCGGATAAATTTAGTATCATCTAAATAATTTTTAAATATTTATCTTTTTATAATTAATTAATAAAAGGATATAATTCAATATAATAAAATAATAAGATATAATATATTTTGTTAATTGATTTTACTAATGTGTTATCTTTGAATTTACTTTCAAGTAAACAATAGATCATATTAATATTAAAATCAGTAAACAACACAATGAAGAACAAGTCAGGACAATCATTCGATCACTGCCTCATTAGTTACACTCCCACTTGCATTGTAATAATATTATGTTACTTTCGTGGTAGACAGAGATGAAACAAACACCATACTACGGTGTTCATTGTATGGCTATGTTTTGTTTTCCTAAATAGCAACCTCAGCCATATTGCATTATGATAAAATTAGAAGCACAATACTCTCATCAGTGTTACACTGATGTGGAGTTTGTATCAAATTCCAAGAACATGACAAAAGGAATACTCAATCAATAATTGTTGATAACAAATATTAGATTAGAAGCTAGGTTATGATGAAAATGCCGTAAATTGTAAGGTTAGGGTTGTTTCCAATTAAAATCTTGAATTTTTTAAATTTTATTTTGTATTTATTTGTTTTTTATTGTGTTAAATGTAAAAAGAATGAATTTTTAAAGAAAAATCTTAGGGTAACTTAAATTCCTACTTATTGTGTGACTGTACAAAGTCCGGGGGTGCATTTTTCTTCGCAATCTTGCGCACTCGCCACAGCGTCGGCGGGCAGACACATCGTTGTCGCCGCCGCTTCGATCGTTAGGGACGCCTGCCTCCGCCTGGCTTACAGGCTAAAAACGCATGCGTCGTCGTACACTCGCTTTCCGCCGCCGCCGAGGGTGCGAGCGAAACAAAGTGCGGACTGAGAGTATCTACGAAAAGAGACAATCCAAACCCACGACTAGGTTTAGCTCTGACAAATATAACGCACAATGCCTTTTTATGATCTAAGATAGAACACATTCTTAAAAAATAAAAATAAAAAATATAAAGATTTAAAAAATTGTATGCAAAAATGTAAATTTACAATTATTTTTTTTTTATTTCAGTGGCCATCGATCTTCCTCCAAAATCTCATCATCCGATGCAACAATTCAAATAGTTTTCACTGATTTTTTTCGGTTTGCAAACAAATTGCAAATATGGAACACACTCACGTCGAAAAAATCAGATGTTCCGGACCGTGTGTAACGAGATAGAGGTATAATGCACATTTCATTCGACGCAAAGCAAATACACAAATATTTAGGCAACTCGTTTTCGTTGTCCGCCATATACGTGTGGTCGTGTTTGCGTCGAAAACATTTGTAATATGATAATAAATAAAATAAATATCGTTTTTTTGCCGGCTTGTGTGCTGCACAAACGTAACGCGATGCACGTGCGTCTCGTAACTGCATGTAAATTGCATCTCTTTGCCTGCAACACTTTTTATTTGATTTTATTTGTATTTTTATGTGAATGCACGAAGATGAGGGCTGACCAATAGGACATTTGCGACATCTAGTGGCGAGTGACGGAATGAACTAAGCTGGGGGTTTAAGGAAGAAACCGTCGAGCGGATTTAATGAGGAGCAAGGAAAAGGAACATGAGGAAGGATATCAAAAAGGGTGGATGGAACTACAGGGTGTTCAAACAAACAAAACTCACATGGTAATTGTCGAATTGAAAGATTATGAAAACATTTTTGTTAATGCTTTGTACTATTTGCTGCTTATAGAATTATTACTGCTTATTTTTATACCAAATTCCTAATATCCTTGCTTTTTGTGTAGAAATTTTGCTTAATTGGGCTTAAATTATGCTAAAATAAAACTTGCTTCAGTTGACTATCCTATTTTACCTTATATAATACAATTTGTTTTTATATTATTTTTATATCAAATTATATTTTGATATTTGCTTATATTGTTCGTTCGGAACATCAAAAAAACGCTTCTATTGTTTTTGTGCGATTTTTTTATTCCCACATCCATGAAATATAAAAATATTAATAAAGTGCACACATTCCTCCTGCTTTTAGTTGCTTTGCTTTGTTTCTGCTTTGCTAAAAATGCTTTTTGTTGATCCCGCAATTATTTCTCCAAAAGGTAAGACGCTTTTTAATTTAATTCTATTGTTTATCTAGTAATTTGCTTGGTATTAGTGGCAGGTAAAACGAAAGAAAGAAAAAGAAAATTTTTCAGTAATTCAGTAATTATTAACTATGCAAGTGTTCGATAATGTCAACAAACGCACAGAATTATTGTTATTGGTACCTTTTATGCGCTACGAATGAGTATACAATACAGCGTGCACATTTGCGAGTGAATGCGTTGTGTAATTCCAGCGAGGCACAATCAATGATGGGACTCGTGGAGCACATGGGACGCATTCCCAGATAGATAGACAGATACAAATCTATATTTCTATTTCTACACATTTAAGAGTATAGATTATAATTGAGGTTATGTTTGGTTATATAGCGGCAAAAAAACTAAAATTTTACCTTTTTTACATTTTTGAAAAAAACATTTTAATTTGAGGTTTTCAAATATCAGGAAAGTTCAGATAGTTGCACATCTCGTATGTGCAATTCTTTATTATTGTTAATTAAAGAATAATAAAATATCAATGAATTACTTGCTAATATTTCATCTGCCAAATGTGTATCGTGCAGATTTGGTCCTGAATGGTACTAGAAAATTGTTGATTTTAATTTTAAATACACTTAAAAACCGTGTTACAAGATGAAAATTTAATATTGCACAATAAAGCAATTTTAAATTGAATTTAGGATGACGTAAAACTATATAAGTCAAAATCTTACTTAGCCAGTTGATATTTCAATGCTAATAAGCTATCAATCACCATAATTGTCAACCAATATAGGTATAGACAGACACCTAGGTACTTATATAGGTACTTATATTTTGATATTACTTTGGCATTGGTACGACTTAGGGTATCGATGGTACGACTTAACAGACCTGTTTGTTAAGTCGTACCGTTCACACATTTTTGTTAAATTGATGTTTTACAAGAATATAAACATTTCTGAGTAATTATTCTCATACGAATTAAAGCTATATTAACTAAAGCAGGTAAATATGTCGAAAAACTGACATTATATTGCAAAACTTTCACTATAGGGCCAATTGTATTTTAGGGGTACGACTTGGCCTACCTTCCCCTATAAGTAATAAACCCTATTATAGGTACTCAAAATAAAATTTCAAAATGTGTAAAATCTAAGCGTAAAAATAAGGTAAAAACTTGCTAAAGCGAAAAGGTGACTCAGTCTGCAAATATAAATTTAACGAAAGATAATTTCATGTTGCTTGATAAGCGCAGGCTATTATTAAACTAGATGCTCGGCCGTTAGCAGCCTCGGCGGTCGCTGTTTGCCGATGGCAAAGCTTGCAGCGTCAAACGAAATGGGTTCAATTAGTCTAAAAAGCTAGTGCTCGTCGCGCCCGTCGCCATCGCTGCTTTGCACACTCACCCACACACACACACTCATCTACAAATGGGCTCGGTTTCTTATATCCGCAAATTACTGTTTGAACAAAAAAGGGCAAACGTATCGTTTATAACTGTCTGCGCATACAGGGCCATCCATCACCACACAAATTACCAACGCATCAAAATTGCATTGATTCCTGATGAACCATTGTGCGGAAAACAAAACGTCCTGTAATAGCGGGCACAGAATTATGGCGCATAAAGAAACGACGGGGAGCGGCCTGCGTACACAGCGAGCAAATAGGTTTCGCAGAGAAAGGAGGCGCTGCGTCGAAAGAGGAAAACGAGGCAACACTAATTAGAAACGGACAGCTCAAAAGCGCGCGCCTCTCGCCGGAACTGGATGTGTGTGCGGCGTGTGCCGGCCGCCAACTTGCATGAGACTCCAATGTACAGCCATTTTGTTTTTGCGTGTTTTCCGTGCGCGCCGTGGGGCTTCCAGCCAACGAAACGGATGTTGGTTTTAAAAACGCACGCACTATCAAAGTATCACATTCACCGCTTTGGTAAAATGACCAGCAGTGACAACTTCCTGCGTGGATAAATATAAAATTCAGCAGAATTAAATTTATGCATGGTTTTCTCAATTAGAAAAAATTTTTTTAAAAAAAGTGGAGCAAATGCATTCGGACTAAAACTAGCGACTAGCGACGAGTAGTTTGACCGGCTGGCGGCCGCCTCTCAGAGAGCGAATTATTGGATTCCGTTCAATTTAGTCGAGGCCCCCCCAAATGCACGAAACCTTTTTTCGGGGCTCCACGTTGCGGGGACGAGACAGTGAGTGCCGTTGACCACTGCACGACGGACTAATTAAAAATCGAGTATTTTGTACTATAGCGCAATTAAGTAGTCATGACAACCGTAAAAAGCTCCACAAATGCAACTTGTCGCCAAGCATACAAACGAACACTACACATTACAATTTCGTTGAGTTAGCAGAGAGAATAAAACTTCTTGTGAATATTTCAGAAGGTGCGCTGATTAACGATTTATCGAACCTCTTTTAAGCCTTCAATAATGTACGCGTGCTGTGTGCGCATTTTGCACCTGATGCACACATTTATAAATGTGTGAAGCATGTGGCGAGGCGATCGTAGACAAGGTGAATTGATGTAGACAACACCGAAACGTAAAGACTTGACATGCGCGTACACAACAATTGTAATTAAAGTTACGTACAATTTATTCAATTCAAGAATTAAAATTCAAACATTTAGATTTTTTAACCGCAACTTGAGTAACAGATGTATGTTAATTGGGTTGCCTATAGTTTTCTTTTGTAATAATTACTTTTTTGTGTGTAATTTTCGGCTATTTCATTTTCTCGCTTAGGAAAAACAGAAACATTCGGCTTGTTCGGTGCGCTATAATTTAATTTCGCTGTGGGTAGAATTGTTCGCGCTACTCTCCGCAATGTTTCGTGTTTTCCGCGTGCTTTGGCGACGAGCGCGCATTTTCTATGTGACATCGGTCCTAGGCGCGCACGTTATTGCCGGATTTCGGACTTATACAAATTTACAGCTATTAATCGGGGCCCGGCTCCTGCTTTAGCGACGCTGTTATTGCCTCGAAATAGAAATGCACACGAGCACATGCGTTCGCGCCTCGCTGTTGGCCGAAAAAGCTCGAAAATTCGGCGCGCAAGGCCGCGCGCATTCATAGACAATTTTGCTGCATTGTTCGAGGCCTTCGGGCGATAAATAATGAAACTCTTTAAATAGTGCCGAGCGCCAGTGCGCAAGCCAGCGGATACAATAATGGCTCGAGCTTTGAGCTATTCGAGCACACAAACACGCAACCACATATACACAACCAGCAGCAGCGACGCCATTATGCATTGTTCTTCTTAATTATGATGCCAAATCTCTTGTCGTATAATTATACGTCGTGAAATTTCGGCGGGTTTTCTAGTATGTAGTAGATTCGGTATAATTTGGCGCTGTCGGTAATGGCTGGGGGTAGGTAGCCATTTGGAAGTTTTGCGTACAGTACGAAAAGCATGTAGTAGGCGAGCTATGTATTTTTAAAGCGGCCGGATCAAGGGAGAGCTTTTTAAGCCTAGGTTTGGCGTTCGTTCGGTCGGTGCGTCGACCGTCGACCCACAGCCTTGCAGCGTCCATCCCCACTATACGCCCAGCCCGAGCGCGGCGTGGTGCGTCGTGAGCTTGAAACCGTGCAGACCGCGCTGAAAGAGCGCAAGAGTAAGAGGAAAAAAAAAGGTTGGAGAGCTGGGGATGACCGCCCATCAGACGCGCACGCCGATTGGCCAACGCCGGAAAAGGCGGAAAAACTCGTCCTGCTAAGGAGCAAGCTCTCCATGTACTATAAGAGTGGGGCGTTTAACCCCTCCCTCTTGATCCTGCCGCGTGCAGAGAAGAGTGCGAAGAGTGAAACGAGTGAAGGAGGAAAACACAGAAGAGGGGGATACATGCAGGTCACTTCTGCGCGTCGCCACGGAAGACCGGTTCAACCGGCTGATCGACTCACATAAACGCGGGGGAGACGAGTAATAACAACGCAGAGAAAGACAGTCACATATATTCCCATCCTCTATCACCAGAGAACTCCCTTGACCACGCTGCGCGAATGTATAAAGTTTCTAACTCGCCTCACACTCTTAAAATTTTCGGAATTTCCAAAGAGTGTGAGTCGGCAGAGAGCAGACGCGCGTGTTTATGTATGCGACGTTAAAGGGGGCTTACGAAACACAAGGGGACTTCAAGCTAAACAAGCGAGATGCATCGGTTGGAAAGCGAGAAAGAAGTAGAACATGGCCGAAACCGAAGCTCGGGTGTCATTAATGCCGAACGATCAAGCTTAGGATATCGCAAAAAGTAGGAACGAGTTAAAGCTGAAGCGATGGTTCGCTATAAGACCGGGTGGGGGGTGGTCCACCCGCGGCAATCATAAAATATGCAAATCGCAAATTTACAAAAGCATCACACGCGCAAAACAGAGATAGAGGAAAAAAGCAAGCGTAAACGATCTTGAGACAAAATTGCTGGGAGCAGGCGGTGCACTTGGGATCAGACCGTAATTTATCGACCTCTTTTCACAGCCAGCGGCAAAAAACGAAAAACCATACCACTCTTGGTCATTAGAGGGACTTACAGACCTGTGATTTAGGTAAAATGGCGCTATAACTTTTC